TAGAGCACTAGTAGCAGCTCTAGAACTCAGGTACGGAACCCAAAATCAGTCAGAAGTCTACAGGGCTCGGTTTAGGACAAAAGTTCGTGCTAGAGGGGAGAGCCTGCAAGAGCTGGCACAGGATTTGGAAAGTATGGCACACAAGGCCAACCCAACTGCACCACCCGATGTCCTCAAGCTGTTGCTGAGGGATCAGTTTGAAGATGCATTGGACAATCCACAACTGAAGATACAAGTAAAGCAAGCACACCCCTCTACTATGCAGGATGCAATGGCCAGAGCTCTTCAATTCGATTCCTACATTAAGTCCAGCACAAGGTTGGTACAGTCATCAAGATTCAAGGACAGAAAAGGTCAGCTTTCAGAGAAGTTTGAGGGACTTTGCTGGCACTGTAATAAACCTGGGCACAAGAAATCTCAATTCCGGCAACTTCAACACAGGGAAGATGCCACAGCAGGAAAGGCTGCTACCCAGAAAGGTTGTTGGAACTGTGGAGAGCAAAGACATATGAAGAACCAGTGTAAGAAGAATACTACCAAAGTCAGCTTTGGGAAACCAGTAGTGGTTGGTGCTGAGGGACGCCCACTAACCCCCATTGTGAAAGTCCCAACAGCTAAGTGTAAAATGGCAAGGACACATAGTGTCTACATGACAGGAAAGCTGGATGGGTAAAAGTGCAACTTTATCACAGATTCTGCATCTCAACAAACCCTTGGTGCTAGTACCAGAAGCCATACAGAAGCTCTGTGCTGTGACAGGACATTATGCTAGGTTGTGGGGACCAGTGTGAGTAACTATTGAGCTCATGGGCATAAAGGAAGCAGTGGAAGACCCATCCAGGCCAGCGGATGTGAGGATTGGAAGGTCACTTGTGACAGGTCATCAAGTAGTACCAATAACAGTGGCCAATTTCTCTAAATGTGAGCAGACACTTAAGGAAGGGGCATTGTTGGGTGTGTGCTAGGAGGTAGAGCCAGTCAATGTTAAGGCAAGAAATACAACCATAAAGAAAGGACATCCACTCCCAGAACATTTAACTGACCTCTATAAGAAGAGCATAGTCCATTTGTCATCATCACAGGCTCTTCACATGAGGGAACTTTTGGCGAATTATTCAGACGTCTTTTCGAAAGGAGATTGTGACCTCGGTGGCACAGACCTTGTAAAGCACAGAATAAACACAGGCAATCCCAGTCCGATAAAGATCCCTCCAAGAAGAATAGCTCCAGCAAAG